ATCGGCTTATAGCAGCTATCATCATTTAAATTTTCTTGCCTGCGGGGTCACCAGATTTTATGACTTTCATCATTTCATCATCCCCAGGTTGCTGTTCAATGCTATCCGCTTGCTTTGAAGAGTTTGGAAACTTTCATCTCTGGATGCTCATTTTTGCTTCTGCAGGAAATCGTTATGAGCAAGCATTTTAAGGTGTTTGAAGAAATCAAGGTCACATTCTTCAGCAGCAGTGAGAGGAACCACTACTTTCGAATATATATTCCAAGTTTGTGATCTCAGAAACAATAAACTGGAAAAAATTGCTCATTAATAATGCAGAAATCAGTAAAAAATTCAATAAAACCATATGGCACGCTAGGCCTTCCTACAGTGCTCCTAACTGAAGTTGGCGCACCAAACTACTATAGCAGTATCAGGCGAAACACAAAGCGAGGGGAACTAGCAACTTAACGCTCACTGTCTCGGAGTCCTCTCCGCAAACGATATCTATACCCTCTTAAGCAATGTCCTTGCCTTATAAAGCACATGTTGTAGCATACAGGAAAGTCCCTCATGTCCAATAGAATTCCTGTAAATCCAACGTATCTTTTTGCTTTATAAAGCACATGTTGTAGCATACAGGAAATACCCAATGTCCAATAGAATTCCTGTAAATAAAACGTGTCTTTTTACTCAGTACAATTGTAATTTCACTTTCGATGCCAAGTTATTAATTTCCAATACTTTCAAAAATTTCTAAAGCCTATCAGAATACACAATGTAAATAATTGTATTGGAGATCTTTCTTTGTGGAGCTTTTCCTTGGAGAACTGGAGTTATACTGAAATTACTGATGAATGAAACCAAAATATTTCATTGCAGACAATGTTTACATTGAAAAGTATAACACTTGGTGCAGAAAATGCTCACAACAAGTTAGCAGCTATAAATGAAAGCACACAGGAATATTTGGAAGCATAACTGGATGAGGAAACATTCGGAAAGAGATATCTCCTGCAATGGGAATGAGCACAGGATATGTAATCTTCAAAAGTTGATTACTGAAATAAGGCAGAGTTCATCAGATACATTTTTTTACAGAAACAGTGACTTTGTGGAGGTCATTACAGAAATGTGGTTATACTTAAATTACTGATGAATAAAACCAAAATACTTCATTGTAGGCACTGTTTACTCTGAGAAAAACATGGTGCAGAAAATGTTCAAGTTAGCAGCTACGGGAAAAGCACACAGGAATATTTAGAAGCAGAAGTGGATGACAAAACATTTGGAAATGAGATCAATTTAATTTTCTGCAATGGCAGTGCAGCACTGGAGATGCTCTCTTCAAACATTGATTACTGAATTATGGTACAGTTATCAGACACATTTTTCTACAGAAGCAGTGACTTTGTGGAGGTCTTTCTTGGAGAAATGGAGTTATACTGGAATTACAGAAGAATGAAACCAAAATACTTCACTGCAGGCATTGTTTTACATTGTGAAGTATAACACGTGGTGAAGAAAATGTTCACATGTTAGCAGCTATGGAGAAAGCACACAGGAATATTTAGAAGCAGAAGTGGATGTGGAAACATTCGGAAAAGAGATCAATTTAATTTTCAGCAATCGCGTGCAGCACTGGAGATGCTCTCTTCAAACATTGATTACTGAATTATGGTACAGTTATCAGACACATTTTTCTACAGAAGCAGTGACTTTGTGGAGGTCTTCCTTGGAGAAATGGAGTTATACTGGAATTACAGAAGAATGAAACCAAAATACTTCACTGCAGGCATTGTTTTACATTGTGAAGTATAACACGTAGTGCAGAAAATGTTCAAATGTTAGCAGCTATGGAGAAAGCACACAGGAATATTTAGAAGCAGAAGTGGACGTGGAAACATTCGGAAACGAGATCAGTTTAATTTTCAGCAATCGCACTGCAGCACAGGAGATGCTATCTTCAAAAATTGATTACTGAATTAGGGCAGAGTTCATCAGACATATATTTATTTCTTGTATTCAAATTAAGTATATGTAGATGTACATCACTTAATGGCTATCACTGTTTACAAGCAGGTGTATACAGTATGGTGGAGAAAATGTTCACAAAAAGTTAGCAGCTGCACAGAAAATATACAGGAATGTTTAGAGAACAAGCATATCAGGCCACATGAGTACTAGAACAAATTCAGAAAAGAAAAGATTTTCATTTTCTGCAACGGTAGGGCAAAAGAAACGATGCTATCTTTAATAATTAGTGGCAGTGCAGCACAGGAGACTATCTTCAAAAAATGACTGCTGAATTATGGCAGAGTTTATCAGACTTGTTTTGCTTTCTACAGAGGCAGTGACTTTATGGAGGTTTTCTTTACAGACATGTGGTTATTCAGAAGTTACTGATGATTGAAACCGAAAAACAAAAACATCATTGCACAGGTATTGTTTACATAGCGAAGTATAACATGTGGCGCAGAAAATGTTCACAAGTTAGCAGCTATGGATCAAAGCACACAAGAATACTTAGAAACAGAAGTGGATTCGGAAACGAGATGACTTTAATTTGCTGCAATAGCAGTGCAGCACAGAAGATGTAATCTTCAAAAATTGATTACTGAATTGTCAGAATTCATCAGGCTTATTTTTCTACAGAAGCAGTGACTTTGTGGAGGTTTTCCTTGGAGAAATGGACTTATATTGGAGTTACACATGATTCAAACCAAAATACTTCTTTACCGCAATTATTTAAGTTCAGAGGTATAACATGTTGTGCAGAAAATATTCTCAACAAGTTATCAGCTATGGATCAAAGCACACAAGAATACTTAGAAACAGAAGTGCATGAGGAAACATTCAGAAAAGAGATGACTTTAATTTTTTTCCAATGTTAGTGCAACACAGGTGATGCTATTTTAAAAAATTATTTACTGAATTATGGCAGAGGTCATCAAACTTATTTTCTTTTTCACAGAAACTGTGACTTTATGGAAGTCTTCTTTGCATAAATGTAGTTTTACCAAAGTTACTGATGATTAAAACCAAAATATATGATTGCACGCATTATTTACACTGCAAAATATAACATGTGGTGCAGAAAATGTTCACAACAAGTTAGCAGCTATAAATGAAAGCACACAGGAATATTTAGAATGAGAAGTGGATGATGAAACATTCAGAAAAGAGATGCAATGGCAGTGCAGCACAGGAGATTCTAGCTTCAAGTATTGATTACAGAATTATGGCAGAATTGATCAGACGTATCTATTACTGAAAGCAGAGACTTTTTGAACATATTTTTTTTAGAGAAATGGGGTAATATTCTAATTAGGTATGGATTTAATCATAATGCTTTGTTGCAGGCATAGTTTTTATTCAGACGTAGAAAATGTTACGGTGTGCTGGCTTGGCTTGTTACTGATTACAAATCAAAAATAATTTTTGGTTTCCTGATTCTTTTCTCTCCTGCATTCTTTCTAGGAGATGAAATAATTTTATCTGCTTCTGAAATTTCAATTTCTCTTTTTTCTTGTGTTTGTTTTACAGAAGCAGTGGCCTGTTTTTGTTTCTCATTCTGTGCTCTAGCATCAACAATATACTTCGGTTCTCTAAGAGACATTTTTCTTGGTGCTCTTGGATCAACAAGCTCAGGAAGAATACAATTCACGTAAAATTTTTCGAGTTTTGGAACTAAACTGATCCAGAAAGTTTTGTCTTCGGGTATTCTTAATGTGATTGCATCTTCTCTGCACCATATATATAAATCACACCAATTCCTCTCTGTTATGGCTAACTGCCCTTGAATTTGAAAATAATATTTGTGGCTTTTCGGTAAATAAAGATTATTATCAGCATCCATCCGAAGACCAACAGAATTAGGCTTGCTGAAAAAGTCTGACAAGTCTGCTGAGAATCTGGCTGTATAAGGACATTTTATTTCAAGTAATCCATCTTCGTCTATCAATCCATCTGGCGAAGTACAAAGAAAGGGATATTTAGGATCAATAAAAAGGCCACAACGTCTGATGTTTTTTCCCATGTGCTTTTCCTTGTATTGATTTAAGGCTACTGCTTCGTTAGCCAAGCCATACTTTAATGCTTTAGTTGAAAACGTTATCATTATATATGATACGTTTCACTAAAGCAGCACTGAGTGTTGTTGGACGCCTAAGCAGCACTGAGTGTTGTTGGACGCCTATCAGCAACATCTTTGAAAAAGGATGATGATATTCTTCTTGATCTTTCATGTGACGCCATCTTTCAGATGATGACTGTCCACGTGTTACGGCCTCAAGAGAATCTTTTTTTGGAACTTCAATTGATATAAAAAAATTTTTAGCTGCCAATTCATATGCTTCATCTGATAGGTCTGGTTTCTCAGGAAAATCACCATAAGAAATATCCCCACCTTGCTGAATATGTCCTGCTTTCCTCATATTTCTCTTTTTCTTCTCAGTGTCAAAAAGTCTACGTCTCTCAAGACGTTTTACATGGCGCTTATTTCTGGAAGCTAAGAATTTCAAAGTTGGAGTCCTGGGGCTACTTCCTGTTACAGCTTTTTGTGCATTTTTTTGCCACTGCTGTGCTGGATTTTGATAGGCCATGACAGCAATACTCGCACGCCTGTTCATGCCACCAGCTTTGGAAAAATCAACTCTTTTTCCACCAGATGTTTTACACAGTTGACTCATGAAGCTTTCACAGCAGGATTATTTGTGGCATTCCAAATAAGAGTACTGCTACACGATATCAGTACTCTTCCCACTTCTGCTTCAATAGCTTGCAACATACCCGAGGAAAAAATTTCATTGTATGTGCTGTCCAACTCTGCACCTTTCTTTGCACAAAAAGCACTACAACAAGCATCATGCTTGCCAAATACATGATGTGGCCCATTTCTCAAGTCAGATACTAATGCATCAATAGCTTCTTGTGTGTGCTGATAATGGCTAGGTAAAGCATGAGCTTTTATAGCTACTCTAGCACCTCTGACTAACAGTGGCATTTTAATTTTCAGCAATTTACAATTTACGGGCAGCAATTCCTTTAGCCCCGGGGAAGCGCGCAGTATTTTGCTGAAGTTTCTCAAGAGCTCTGCGATATCTTCGAACAGCATGGTTAGCACATTCTACTTTTTGATCACCCGTCCTCCATATGAAACGCTTTCTTTCTTTCACTTTGGCCATTGTGTTAGCATCTCCATCTCCAACAAGTCGAGTACAACGTATTTTGTGAACACACTGGAGATAATTCAGACCTTCCACAATGGCACTGCTTTCCATACCTGTAGAAGGCCCATTCCAATTTCGCCAACAAAGGTGCACTTTATTTGGCATCTTGCCATCTTCAATAGCACTGCATATAAGGCACACTTTGTTGCGAATTCCAACAAACAAAATTTTCTGGGTGACCATGCCTATAATAACAGATATGCCACTTGAAGCATTGTAACCATGCCCATAGCTTCTTTTACACCAACCTCCTCCATCAACAATGACAGTTATACAGTGATAACCATCATTATCTTTATCATTGCGAAGTTCTGCCTGCCTTTTCTCCTCTTCTATAGCAGCACACATAGTTTCCTGTGCACATCCCTGTATTATTTTGCCAGTAGTTCGCTCACAAGAAGCAAAGGTCGAGTTGCTCATATACGGAATTTCCATGATGCTAAACTTTTCCTCCTCTTGTGAAAATCCACTGCCAGTAGATAACGCACCTAATACTGCAAGCTGATTTAGGCTGCTTTTCTCCATATCAGAACAAATTGTTGCCATTTCCCCACATAAAATTTTATCACATACATAGTTATATGTAGTGACAAGACCACGTCGAATCACTTTGTTAAAAATAAATGATCCTCCAAATTTACAATTTAGGGAATGTTGCTCTAATGTCCTAGCCTGCACTATTACAAAAGACATATTGCAAATTGTTCTGCCAGATGGTAATGGATTTGCCTTTCGTCGATCTTCCCTTTCGATAATTAAAGGTGAATCAGGACACAGAAATTCATCATTAAGGTTCTCCTGAAGAGGCTCAGACTCCAAGCTAAAATATATATATATATACATATATATATACACACAATATATATACATATATATAATTAATATATATAAATATTACAAATTAGGTTTAAATTTGGCTTATTTGATGACAGCAAAGCACTTGATCTTCCTAAGAGGAGGAATGCTTTCATGGAGGACTTTCTAAGGGAAATGGCTCATATACACGGGGAAAACCATGAAAACGCCCATGCAGGCAGCCCATTCGCAATTAGGTTTAGGAAATTTAGGCAACAGATAGCAAATAAATTAACAATAATAATACACTGGATTACCAGTATATTACTACAAGAAGATGAGTCATCTTCACAACTGCTGCTTCCATGCTCGCAGTGTCATTTGCTCGTGCAATATTAGTCAGTACTACTTTGTGTGCCGGAGGTTTCACATGAAGGGCCTCTACACCTGAGTATAAAATGTTCGTGTTCCAGTAAACACTGAATTCAGAGGGGCAAGAATAACTCTTTCATGGTGGATAACTCAGTTACCAAATGGCTTTCTAAGGCTCTATTCAAGCCGTTGTATAAATGTCATAATTCCCAACTAACAACGCTTTGTAGTCAGACCTTGCTATGTCACAAAAACTAGTTTGGGCATTAAGCTTGAAGTTTTCAACTTTGTGCCGACTTGATATAAGAGTCGGCCAATCAGAGCATATACATAAAACCTATTGAGAGAGAAAGCTGTAGACACATACATGCATGCACAAATTTAGCTTCTCTAATTGGCTATGGCTTAGACCCTCTCTCGCAGGTGTGAATGGAACTCCCACATTTTGTGCCTTATGATTATGCGTCTATGACATTTATACCATCATGTGAACGGAGCCTTAGGATGGCATACTAAGAAGATGCACTGTCTTGTGGGGATAAGCAATTTATACTCCTAAGCCTAAAAAAAAAACTTGGAAAAAAAAGATCACGACTTAAATTTGTTGTCTAATTGCTCTAATTTGAGGCACATTATGAGAGAGGAAAGCAAAGGTAGTAATCAGAATTATTTAAAAAATTTTATCCTTATATTTTTCTTAAAAATTCTGTAAAATAATAAAATTTTTGGTTTTCCTCAAATAAATATATATGGAAAAAATAATAGCCACATAATCACAGATTTCATTTTGTTATATTTTATTAACAAAATTTAAATTATTAAAAATCTCTTTCATGAAGGGAACATAAAACATCATGAAAACAATGAAAAAGAAGCAATATTTAAAAAAGATAGTAGGCTTATTGATGAGGCTCCCATCAAAAGAATCAAACCCCAAAATATTTTCATTTGCTTCAGTGTCCCGACTGAAAATTTCACTGATTTCAATGAATATATTTTTAAAAAAATCTTTTATTTTCAAGTTCTTTCATGCAAAACGTCCAAATTTGGTACAAATCAAATTCATCCCCCTCTTTTTGATAGCTACAATATTATATTTAACAGTTTTAATAGCTATCAGTATGTAAACAACATAATGTAACACCATAAAAGAAAAACATAAATGATGACATTTTAATTTTGGCATAGAGAAATACATATTTACCCCAAAAGAGAGCTTGTATTTCTACCTTCTACGTCAGAGTCAATAACTGAAATGTCCAGATCAGAACTGAGAAGAAAAGAACCATAATTAGTTTAATTAAGATACAATAACACACCGACCAAGTATTAATTTGAGAGTCAAGCAACAAAAATCAGCATCATATTTTGAAATATTCACTATTTGAAAATATAACGCTGATTTTGGTTGCTTGACTTCTAAATTAATACATAATTAGTTAACCATAATTAAGTAACTGTAATTTCAATATCATGCACAGCTAATATCTATTTTAAAAATAAACCAACTTACCTCAGGAAAGCCTGGTTTGTCTTAGGAACATTAGCTGTAACTTCTGGCGTAGAAAAGTCAAATTTTTCACTTCCGGACCTAAGAATGAAAGAAATAAACTGCTATAACATAATTAAAAAAAAAAAAAAAAAAAAATGAATAAATAAATAACACATAACAAATTTAAGCATTAAGCTATGTATGACTACCACCCATCTCAGACAGTGCGACAGATATTGCTGTATACTGTTTCGCCATACCCTGTGTAGCTATTATATCATGCTGTATAACCACAGTTTAGAAAAATTACAAAATGTGTTATTTATATCTATCTAAAATGGTACATTACTACATGATTTGTAAGAATAAATTAGAGGGCTCTGCGAATGAAATTCCTTCCAATTAAAAAATGTAGGAATAAAGAAAATGCAGGAATTGCAAATGCAGAAATGAAAAAGGGATTATATTTTTTTTGTACAGAATCCAGATGACATATTTTTCAACATTTTAGAAATTTCAATATTAATTTTAGGGGCATAAAATATTAGGCCCCTAAAAGCAGAATATAGTTTTTAAATGTTCAGATAATCTTCCTATGAGAAGAATTCCTTTGAGAAGTACACATCTGAACCACAATTAAAAAACATGTACAAGAACAGAGCTGAGGACTTCTGTTTGCAGAAAGTCTGTCACATAACATATGAAAAGTTTCTTATTGGTAGATTTTTGATCAGACAGGATATTTTAATTGTTATACAGAGAAAGCATTCACTCCCTTTATACTGGAGATAATTCAATTTGGACAATGGCAAAAAGGCTAAGCAAGCCTGAGCGTATTGGTCCCATTCTTGGCACTAGTTTGGTTTACGCTCAAAATACACAGCAGATATTTTCTAATTACCTGCATCCCAATATCAATTCAATTCAGCTTTTGGTGGAATTTACCATTTGTGACATATTTTTCAAAAACTACACTTCACAACATGCATACATGACAAATACACAGAACCATAAATAAACAAGCAATAATATATATTTATATATAAATTTTACTAAATGATCATAAAATGTTCCAACGCTAAAAGAAAGTTTTAACATCCAAGTAAATGACATAATAAAAAAAAGCAAGTTGAACAGCGAGCACATGAATAAATGTGCATACACCTGTTAAAATATACCATAGGTAACTGACAAAGCATTTCGTAGCAAACATATGACTATAAAATTTCCAATAATACATGTAATGATGGTGAATTCAATTTAGATCGCAAGAACATGCTCATACTTTTGAAAAGATTCAATTATTTCAGCAATTCCTTGTGAATTGGAATTTACCCTTTCAATATTTCCCAACAATTTAGTGTGAATGGAGGAATAAATTGTTATAACAGAATTGAACAATTATTAGCATCCCCTCATACACACACATACAAAAAAAAAAAAAAAAAAAAAAAAAAACTTACTTTGTAAAAAAAATCATCATCCGGGCAATGATTCTCCTTTGACACAGATGCAGTTGTATCAATAATTTCTGACCTTCAATAAAAAAAATACGCATATTTTACTTCGGAATTAACTTACTACGAAATCATAAACACGGGGTAGTCGATATAAAGAATAAATTATTTCTCACCTTTCGAAAACATCCGCTTGTTCGGAATCTTCCACATCTCGGGAATTTAATTTCATATTTTTTTTCTTGAGCTCGACGTTTACGCTGAATTCTGGATCTTTTATTAAAACCAGGATGTTTTTTTGGTCGTCCTTGATATTTTCGCATATTTTTTGCAAACTGACCACAGTACAAATAAATGTAAACAAAACGAGTGCGGAATAGCAATGCAATAGGGTTGCCGTAAACGTCATTCTGCTGACAGCTGACAATGTTTAGTGAAAACTGTGTATAAAGGAATATATGAAACGCTTCTAAATATTATTTAGAAAAAAATATGATTTATAAACTGATATCAAAATCAATTACTTCGTGAATTTTTGCAGAAATAAGATTACAATGTTAAATTTTAACTCGTAGCGCCATCTATTGATGGCTTTCCAAACTACACATTAAAATTACGTATTTCAAACTAATTTTTTTTAAAATATAATATTTAAGTAAATTTCATTTCAAACCTGATTCTAACATTGTGATTCGAAAACTGACCTATTGCTTTATATTTCTGCCAAATTGCACGCAACATAGTTTCTTAATTAGCGATTCTGCGTGTAAAAAAATTTTTAGTATTGTAATGCTGCTGTAGTAGACCCCTTATACACCTTGCTTTTGATTGTGATAAAAGAACTGCAAAATATTATTTCTGTTTTTTTTGGGATTAAAGGCTCATTATAACGTTTTTTAAATTTGTTTTTGGATCAGGTTTATTAAATATTTTAATTTTTAATTCACTGTTTCTAAGTTCTGATATGTATTTATTTACTTATTATATCGTTACTTACGTACTACTTATCTATTATCGTTATTCAGAACATTTCAATAGTGCACATTTAATATAAAACTATACATTTTAATAGTGTTGATTAGATAATAATGGTTTATAAAATAATAAGCTTTAATAAAAGCTTCAGACATGTTTATATCTTTCAGCATACAGTATAACCAGGGCTTAATTTCTAAAAGTACAAGTGCTGGAGCCCTAATGGAAGACCGTCGGGAAAGAGGAACAAGAGTAAATAAATAAATAAAATGACTATTAAAATCATTGATAATTTTAAAATTAAGTAGTTAAGGAGTATCAAATTAATTAATAAATATTTAATTGAAATTAATAATTAATTTTTATTAATTATTATTTAATTACTTCATAATAAATTTATTATTATTTAATAAAATACTTTAAGATTAAAGTAATTAAATAATTAAAATTAAATAAAATGTAAAGAGATAATAAATTAAAATTTAATAAGCGATTTTTAATATTAATTTTTTTTGCTTAAAAAAATTTTCGGGATCCAACTTTTACTGAAATAATGGTTCAGTTATACAAAAGAAGTGCGGGAGCCTTTTTATTTAGGGTTCCGGTGCGCTCCGACTAGAATTAGAATACATTCCAAAACCAAAGAAGTACCGGAGCCGGCTTCCTGTGGGCTCCGGCCCAATTTAAGCTTTGAGTATAACTGAATAATATAAGCCTCATTGAGAATAATTGTTTATGACTTGATTTTAATTATTTCTGTATATAAAAAAACTTAGAGTGAATTTAAAAAGTAGATTTCCAATGAGTCCTCTTTCTTTCAGCAATCTAAAACTAATATATGTGTTAAATTTGAAGTTCTGCTTACAGATTTATATAAAAACATTCACCTGATAAATCTAAGTATAATAAAATATCATTATTTATTTTTACTGAACATACATTGCTTTATTTGTACATGTTGAGTTTTAAATATTGTTCATTTCATCAAACACAACATTTTAACTGTTATTCAAATTCATTACCTTTTTCTATCACATTCTCTCACAATATGAATTGTCTACAGCAGCAATTCTCAACCAGTGGTACGCAAGAGAAAAACAGGTGGTACGCAAAGAAACAAAGTATTTTAACTAATAAATTCAAAAATTAAATACCTCAACATCTTGTTTGTTTAAGTTTTTTCTCTAACACTCGTAAATTTCTGAAATTTGAGCTTTGTTCAAGGTCTATAATCGCTCGTAGACTTTAGGAGAATAATCCGTTACAAATATTCTTTTAGCCATAGACATAACAAAATTTTTCATAAATCATGTTTTTAAAAGGCGTAATAGAAATGGATGTTGTATTTAATAGGAAATAAAAATAAGTTCCTATAAAAGGATAATAGTATCACATTAATTGCTTTAGAATTGATCGATTTATTAGCCTGTCTACACTTTACGTCGCCACCATTTCCGGGCTCATAATGATCTATTTTCAGTTAGAATAAATTTTTTACGTCGATTTTCTGTCTCTAGCAGCAGGTGTTTTGTCTTCTTCTTGCTTTGTATTCCTTAATTTTCTACGCTATTTGAGAATGTCGTCGTTTGTTTTTGAAGAACTCGTAATATGTTGTTTATTTAAATATTTGTGAAAAAATAATAAATTTAACCTAGATTTTCAAAATGGAAAAGTGGCCAGGATTGACAAAGCGAAAAAGTGATGATTCACAGGTGATGGATCCAGGACAATCTACTAGCACTAAGAACACTCAAAAGAAAAGAAAAAGTATTTATAGAAAAAATAATGAAAGTTATTTATCATTTGGTTTTACCTAGAATAGATATGAAATGGACACTCAACATCAATGTGTTATTTGCGATAAACTATTATCCAATCAAAGTATGAAACCGTCGTTTCTGAAAAAACATCTCGAATCTAAGTTTGGCAGTTTAAAGGATGAATCCGAAGAATATTTTTTTAAAGTAAATTATTGGGGTTCAAAAATAGTAAACAAGTCATGAGAGGTTTTGTTACTTCGTATGAACTTTGGAAGCTAGTAGTTACCTAGTAAGCTTAAGAATTGCCAAGAATGGGCAGGCTCACACTATTGGAGAAAACCTTGTATTACCAGCAGCTAAAGATAGCGTTTTAACATTATTCAACAAAAAAGCGGCTAATAAACTTAATAATACTCCGTTATCAAATGATGCATTAAGTCTATGAAATCATGAAATGGCAAGTTCCATAAAAGAGATAGTTATTCAAAAAGTAAAACAGAGCGAGTATTTCGCATTGCAATTGGATGAAAGTACAGATATAACGAACTTTGTTGAATTATTAGTTTACATGCGTTTCGAAGAAGATAAAAGAATTACCGAAGAGTACTTATTTTGTTAATCTCTTCATGATAGAGCAACTGCAAGCGAAATTTTAAAAGTAATCCACAATTTTATGCCTGAGAATGATATTCCTTGGAATAAGTGCATTGCCGTATGCAGTGCCGGAGCTCGGGCTTTGACAAAAAAACATTCCTGTGTTATTTCTCAAATAAAAACGTCGTGCCGGAAACTAAATTTACTCACTGTTCCATTCATAGTTCTGGCATAAACGTTTACTGTATCTCTTACAATAAAATTTTTTGCGATTTTTAATGTTTTTGAGAGTTATTTAGCTTAGCATCTATTAGAAGACTCCTTTTTTCATAAATTAAGGACCATATTAATGGAATTATCATGACGAACGTGTGGTTATTTTTTACCTACATATGAAACCACTGTACTTTGTCAGCTGTCAAATTTTGCTGATATATAAAAGTTTGCAAAAAATATTATAGCAGTATTCTAGTGTTTCATGTTAGCATAAGATTGTTTTTAATATATTTTTCTGTCATTGCAATAAAAGGAAAGATTGACCAAGAGTTATTCTTATTCAGGTATTTTTTCGATATAAACAAAGTCTTTTATAAGTATCAGAATCCTCCCAATAATGTTGATTTCACCTCTGGAAATTTGATAAATTTTCATTTACTTTAAAATTCTAATACTGAAATCAAGAAAATCGTTCACAGTGAGTATTGATTTCAGTCTGTATCTAAACTACATCTGTATAGATTAAATCACTGTTAACATTCCAGCTCGTGACAGAGACGCCACCTGCGACTTATGGAATCGAGGATGCAAATTGTTGCCTGGCAGAGTTTTCAGTGTTATTAAAAGAAAATAAAATTGTAAGCATTCAGAAACCTCAATCACTGGGACAAGCTAATATCACGTATTAATTCAAAATTTTCTAGTTTTGTCAGCAATTCAAGAGCGTTCTGCATTAAAAGGATCTAAAGAGACATTCACTGATGTTACTAAGGGCCCCTGATTTTAACTTCGAAACTTTGACATTTATTTCTTGTTTAGGAGTGACTAAAGGATGTATCGCTAAGGTATTAACGAATTTCAAACAATAGATCTTCGGCGAAAGGGAAGAGAAACACTGCACTAAAAGGAGCAATTTTTCAGAACAATACTAGTTTGCGCAACTAGACAAGAATCAATAGATTAATTTGGTAAGATAACAATTATGCCCTGAAAATAAAGTCGGTAATGTTGTCTGATCTAATATAACTGTCTTATATTTAGGCACTTATTTAATACATAAAGAAATAATTTCGTAAAATTTTACAATTCCCTGTCTAGCGTATTAGCTTTCATAGATGTAATTTATTTCTTACAAGAAAAATTAATTTCTCATCAAATTTAATTAACGAAAATTTTGGAAACCATGAAGAAAATGATCGTAAAAAGAGGGCAAGGATAAAATAATAGCTAATGAATTTTTATTTGAAAGAACGATGTATGAACAATTTTTTTTTTGCTGTTGTTCTTAAATGATTTTTGGATAATAATTCGCACATAATGATGTCCAACTTCATTGTCTGATGAAATTTCAATTGCATTTCAAAGAAATTACAAAATATATAAAATCCCGTATGTATTTCAGCTATCTCTCTCAATCTTTTTTCGCTTTTTTTTTCTCTGTGTCTATACAAACGTAAAACATGTGCTAAAAATGCTGCATATTCTTATCCAAAAACTCACTTATATTTCGTACCAACCATTCACAAAACTTTATTTTTAAAGTGCAAAATTTAGTTTGGAAACATAAATAGTTATAATTGATCTTGTTTTTATGTCTGAGGCCTTTGAATATTATTATACTGTATGTACGCAGTACAAATATAATAAATAATTGCAATAATAAACTTTACATGTTAGTTAGCTTCATACTCGTTATCAAATAATATGTGATTTTTAAGAGCAAATGCTATTTGTTTCGCTAGATTTTTTTACTGTAAATAAATGCGCATATTTTTATTTAAAATGAATAACTTTTATTAACAAATCTGCTGTTTTCATGTAATGTCTGTCACTTCGTGGTGTCCTTATACCAGAAAATTAGAAGTCTTCTCGTATATGAGTATTTATAAAATTTAAGCAAAAAAGAAAGGTAATTTTTCCATTTCTCCTTTTTGAAATCGCTGTTTTCGTAAGTCGTTCATTGAAAATTAGCTTCATCTATCGAATTTATTCCAAGCTATGAATAGCACAAACGTCTTTAAAATATTATGTTTTCTTCCTGGGTCGAATTTATTCAGCAGAGTCTGAAGCTCTTTACGAGTTGTGGATTTTAAATGCATATTTGAGTAAAGTGTAACAAATCTGATAACTTTGTAACAACTCCAGGACAATAATTTTGCAATTGTACAGGAGTTCAGTGAGGTTGTAAAGTTGTTGCCTTCATGTGAATGATCGCAAAGCAGACGTTTCTTTACCTTTAGATATTTTTTACCCAAAATGGCAACAACTTTATTTATTCTAAATACAGACTGTTTTTCTAAAATAAATTACAGTTTTCTGGAACTTCTAAAACAATTTTACTTTTTAACGTATGTTTTTAAATAATCATAACTGCCAGATTGCGGTTGCTTTTGGGAATTAATACAGTGTCCGAAAAAAGATGAGCAGCAGAATAAGTAACGGTTATAAAGAAGAGGGGTAGGGCAAGTTTCCATGGTTTCGGGGTAATTCATGACTTAACGAGAAAAAAATGGAAAGGAAACATTTCAGAATCTTTCGTATAAATTTCCGCTTATCGAATTTATCGAGATAAAGAAATTGGACTTATCGATAAAAAAATCCAGTTAACGTTAATATTTTATTATATTTCTCTGGTAAGGTTCAATTTATCCAAAATTTCGGATCATCAGAATTAGACTAATCGAAATTCAACAAAATGGTATTTATAACATCAAAATGACTTAATATTTCCAAAGTCATTCGAAAAAAAAATAGTTGACATAATTAGAGGTGATTCTAACATTTTCCATTCCTCGAAGGTAACTCATTCTGGAAAGTTGCATCGTTTTATTATTACAAAGAAAATTACGTAATTAAAGTTTTAATAGAAGTTTTTACAGTAATTGCTTTAAAAGTAGATTTTTCTCCACAGAATGAATAGAAATTAAAAGAAAGCAGTTCTACTTGGGAAAAGAAGTTTTCGAAGACTGATGTAATAGACTCTTACTTTATAAAATTTATCAAATTCTAGCAGTAGAAAGCTCGTAGAGTCGAGTACAGCAAATCCAACCTAATGTAACTGAGACACCACCATAGAGAACAATGGCAGTGACTGAGAGGCTGATGAGATACCAAAAATGTCAAATTTTATGAAATAAGGAATGGGGTATTGGCACCTCAATAATATTTCACTGCATATTACTCTAATGAACGTTCAGGCAGAATACAGGACAAAATAGCATAATTTATCCTAAAATAACTGTTAAAAGTTGTAGGATTCTCCACTGTGTATTTATAAGTTACAGCTGTGAAGAATGTGTGAAAAGTGAAGAATCTTAAGAACTTGTAAGCGAATAATTGCTTGAGTTCGTAAGGTAGAAAACAACAAGGGAGAAGGGTGAAATAACCCTTTATTATTCCAACTAAAGTTTAACAAACTCCGTCTTGGAGTTGTACAATAAAGCCAACACTCGGGCTTCAACTTAAGAGACTAAGAAATAAACTAAACTAATCTTAACTAAAAAAGATATAGCCGAAGCTATCAAAATTCTAACAAAGTTGGCCCCTTAATGCTAATAGACTGCGAAGCTATCAAGGGCCTAAAGTACGTCCGAGCGTAATAATACGTTACGAGAGAGTAGCCTAAAAAGTCGGACGCGTGCTAGCCAGAATATCTGGTATCTCTCTCACTAAGGCAGTATAACTTCACGGTTAAATACCGCTCTTCCTTATTAGCATTCAGACGTGATTCCAAAACTACGTTCTGGCCGGAAGTGGTAAGTTGAAATTAAGAAGCGATAGGAAAGGAAGTTTAACTCAAAATTTAACTGTTAATAAAAGTAACATAATCCTTACAAAGTTAGAAAAACATTAACATAAAAACTTAAGCAATTATTATTAGCTCTTTGAAAAAAATTTTGTATATATATCTCGTGATGCTAGACTGTTTCTCACGCTCATTAAAATTGGCTCCATCCATTCATGCATTTGACTAATTCCTGTACCAAACAAACAGATCATAGAAGGTTTTTGATCTCATTACTGCATACTTTTAAGTTTTAAACACTCAGAAATTTTTCATTTGCTAATGAGAGCCGGTTGGAGCTAATGACTGCCTGTTGCACTTCTGCATGCCAAGAGTGTATAACTTCCTTACTTCTTTTATAGTTCGGGACCGATGTTTCTTCCCTGATTGCAAGCGTTTCCGAAGACCGCATTCGAAACTTCAGGCCGCACTCATAATAGTTGTAAATTTGATTCCCAGATAGACCCTCCTTTAGTTTCTGGAATGTTTCCTTGAATTTATTGACATATTGCCAAGTTAGCAGATAGTTTTTCGACACATGTTTTTAACTATCTGATACCATACCGCTTGTTCTACCTGCCAAATGAACCAACACTAGCTGTAAATGCAGCTCTTCTTGAAATTCTTTATAGAATTTGAAGGCTTCTTGCAAAATGGGTCCTGAAAAGGGTCCTCTTTCCTTTCATACCCAACCCCCCTCCCCCTCAAAGGGGAGCCGTATTCACTTTTTCGTATTTGCCAACTTTTATAATTTTCCTTTCCTTTAACCTATCAGTACCCGCATTTTTCACACACCAAAACTTGGTTCTGGATATCTTATCTCCGCCTTATTATAGCTGTTAGTCCAACGCTTAAATCCATGGCAGTTTTATTAATAATTTCTCCTTTGTCTAGCCTCTTTATGGCATTCAATTTCGTTTTCATTATCATGTTAAATTGTTTTCTTTTCTTCCCATTCGATATTTTTACTTGCATAGACAACATAGTACTTAAAATCCTACATGTAAAATTGAGAAATTATGTCTGAATTAACTGAAAGTTTATCTTACGATAAACCTTCAGGCAAGGCTGCTAACGGCTAGTAGGAAAAAGGAATATGAGCGGGCTACTCGGTTTTCTTCGGCCACTTCGCTACTAAGACAGCAATTGGTTTGGTTTACTTGATAACGGCCAAGCACGCGAGGGCTAGATGCCTAAGGAAAGGGATGCCTTCGTGGAGGACTTTCTAAGGGGAATGGCTAGTATCCATGTTACACATCGGGAAAACCATAAAATTGTCCATGCAGCTAGTCAGTTCGTTAAGATTCAAACCCACGTCGAACTATTAGCGTGTAACGACTTTACCGCACAGCCACAGGTGGGCAGTACTAAGGGAAGGGTGGAATTTCCACTAAAGGAACAAAGCCTGTCAACAAATATACAGGTCAAAGAATTAGACAGAGGGGTAGGGATAAATATTGCAAAAAATAAAATACTGTAGCATCTTTGAAGCAAAGAGGATAACATGCGGACATTCATATGCATAAATGTATGTCGTAATTACAGTTACAATATGCCTATACTGTTCGTTCCGAATAGGAAATGTTAGAAATTATAACAGTCTAGCTATTAACAGACCATCATATTATTTTAATGAGAAAGTTCTGCTTGAACAGCAGAAGTTATTTAGTGATTAAAAAAAGTGATCGTCAAACAGAGTGTCGAGTAACTGCATGCAGAATGTCGAGTAATCGGAGTCAAGTTTGCGGAACTCTACATATTATATGTGCCGAGTAATGCGAATGTACTGTTACTAAAGAATTTAATTTTTAGACTTGTCATTTATCGTTCAATTGAATAAATGTTTTCCGGTTTTTCAGCCTGATTAGTTAATTTCTATTTTTTTTTTTTTCCTTTCTAGAAACATTCTCCTCCCTTGACTGACATGAGTGGTCACTTCGGAGATTTAAGCCCACTTCAAGAAAAGGCATTGAATGAGGTGAAATCATGAGATACACTTAACGTTTGTAGCAAAATAAATGAGAAAATATAAATTCTTAGATATTTAATTTATTTATATTACATTTTCCTTTGTTCACACGATGATAATGCTGTGAGCCTATTTGTATGCAATTAATATATTGAGTCATAATCTTTGTATATTCGTAAATTTCTTCTGAGAGATCATATCGTCTTCTAAATGGGCTTCACTTTTTTTTTATTTCTGTTTTTTCGGCTACATTTTTCAGAACGTTGAAATAAAAAATTATCGAATCAACCTTGCTTAATTATAAATGAATCTAAGAAACAAGAAGGATGGAGTATTTATTATGTTATCGCAGAGATAGGAAAGGTCGGCGTGCTGACATATTATTTTAGCAAGCGGATAATTAGAAACCAAGATACTGATAAAAATACGGGAGAGAAATGGCTGGAAAACCATATGAAAACTCACAATGTTTATAACAAGACACACGACAGCTCATAAAGCACCGAGCAAAAACTATTGCAATTTTGAAATCTTAAAAAAAATTTCTAATGCCCCCAAAATAGTTCGAAAAATCTCCAACACACCCGGAAGTTCTGATAAAAAAGATTTTTCCAGGGAAAAAAAACATGGTCCATGGAACTTCGGCCAGCGAAAAAACTATTTTAAGCTTTCAAATTATATCATCAAAGCTAACGATGGATTTCATATTACAGGCACGCGGTAAAGTTTAAACAATGCGAAATTTTCATTAAATGAAGTCGAAACATCTTGCATGCCACCTCTTAAGCTGGTAGGTTTAAATGTCACTATTGTCATAGCGACACTAATGTCATTCTAAGCATAACAGATGCTTTGAAACTGATGAAATTTCTGGAAATTGACTGTCTAAGCCACAGGCAATCACCCAGTCACGGAAAACTAATTTTGCGCATATTTGATTACATTTCAAATTTCGGCAACTTTTAAATTTCCGTAGTTTCGGTGTTTCCCCCGCCCTTGGGGGCTATTTGCTGTGAAAAAAGTGTGCTGTACTTTAGCATACTTTTAATTAAGTTTCACATTTTAACGGAATGAAAATAGAACATAAAAATTTTCTGTCAAGCAGCACTTTTCCCAATCTTAGATACGAAATTGTAGCGCTTCATAGAAGTTGAAATAATATGACGTACTTCACTGTGATTGGTCGATTTTCTTTCCCTTTATACAAGTCTTGGGATAAAATTGAAATTTGGAACTTTTAAACCAAATGTCTTATGCCACATTTGGTGGCGTGGTAAAGTCCCCTTGCCTAGCAATGTAACTTTGTGCAATCACTTGTGAAAACTTACGCCATAGTGTGAATGCTTCCTTGTGGGCAAATTAAGTATCTCCTAAACTGGCCAGAATTATTGAAAGACGCCAGAAGGTCTATGACTTTTTCTAGCCACACCAACTATAAATCACTGAGCGCGGCAGAGTATTTAAAAGAATGCGCTTTTTTTGCTATGAAAAACCTCAAATATTCATCAGCTCGTCTGACAGAAACCTTTTAGAACGTTTTTAGGCGTTTTGCCTCTAGGAGTGACTAGACAGCTCCAATCTAAAAAGTAAATGGTACATTCCGTAAATTTTCTCTGAGAATTTTGAAAGGTTTCAAAATAGGGTTAATTTTAGTTTAAATTGAAGAAAGTTATTTAATAATTAATTAAACATATTAGAATTATTTTAAATAAATGTCAATCTAAAGTATTAATATTTATAGCTGTCAGTACGTTTGAATTATAAATTGTAACCAACAAAAATGTCTTTCAGGTACCAAACTTCAGATTTCAGATAGAAAATAAATATAAATTTGAATTTTTTTCTTTGTGTGAAGACTATTATTATTTGTGTATATTTTGATATATATTAAAATAGTCAATAAACTGAATTTAAAATTTAGTTGAAATATTTTGTTGATAAAAAATTTTCATTATATTAACAAACAAATTCTGGCCCGTCAGCTTTTTTTAGCTCATGCATTTCAGCCTCAGGCAGTTTGAGTTTGAGACAACTGCTTTTCATAAATACTTAGTATTTTTACAAAATATTAAATAACTAAAAACATAATAAATACATAAACTATAAACTTGATGGCTTCAATGCAAAGAGACGAATTAAGTGAAAATAAAATAATTATAAGTGTATTATAGAGACATTTCGGGTACGAGTTATCGTTTTTAATTAAGGCACTGAGGAGCAGAATATTTTATTGGATACAAAATATTTTTTATTTTATGCTTCTAGATTTGAACTGCATGAGATTATTAATAAATGTGTTTCCAGAATTCCATTCTCCGATTTTACGCAGAGTTTTGAGGTACCTTGTCTCACTGTGCACTCGTAGTCTTGCGACACACGTTTTAGGATCTCGAATTGTTATTGTTCTTGTCATTGTTGTATAAAGACACTTTGTTATTAATGTTAAGTCTGCTTTTTATGCACATTGTAGAATTCGTCAAGACGTATAATATATTTTGTGACGATAATGTATTACATTATAGCAAAATCCATATTTCATATTAAAACAGAAATTCATTTATTGATTGGGATGTCTAACCTCATGAAATTTCAGTTTTCTCTATTTCATCAATTAATATACTCAGCATTTTAGCTGCGTAAAGTTTTTTTTTATTTTGTAGTGACTTTAGGTGATAAGTAATTCACGTGTCTTTCAACATCTTTTCATTTTCTCATGACGATGTACGTGGTACATGGTTATTTTCTTGAAATGTTCATAATGTTCTCTTCAGGAACTTAAATAAAATTTAACGTTAATCGAGGGGCTGTGAAAACGTAAGGAAAGTAAAAAGAGTGGGATACACCTTCATCGCTGATCTGTTTTTCTGCGACACTGAAATAAATTCCAATTCAGAACAAATGTCACATATTTTATACTTTTAGTAAAATTTTAGATATCATGTGAGACTAAGTAAAGCATCGTATGGAGCTAAAACCATATTTATAATTAATTCTTATATTTTTTAAAAAATTATTCTTACAAGTTATTCTTTGAGACATCAAATTTGATACTTCGTTTTTTATGCGATTTTTTAAAAGCAATGTCACAAATTTTCGAAACAGCTGTTGCTAACATAGATATAAGTACTATTATTAATAGCATTTATTATTTAAGAGCATTCATTTGTAACTCATTACTAGATTGGGAACACATAAAAAATATTGAGCTATTCTAGCATGTTTTCTGTCTAAAATTAGAATTTTTCTTTTACCATGATCTATCTTCACCTGCTTTTGAAGTATTCTTCGCTTGAGATGGAACTAATATTTGAGGCATGTTTCTAATACTTTTTGTCCCCAACGCTTCGTACATCTTAAGAAAAACACAAAGATCTCCTTCCATATGTTTTCCACACATATTTTTTGGTAACTGAAGATAATGTTTTTTAATTGAAAGTTTTTAACGAGATCTTTAAAAATAACTTCGTACCATAGCATAGTCATTTTTTTAGCGTAAATGAAGATGATTATGTAACCGCTTCTCTTGATAATGTTTTTACATGGTAGTAAGTATAAAAAGCAGTTTTAAAAGCGGTTTATTTCAGATGGCTTTTTCTTTGGAAGAATGAAATCCAACAAAGCATTTTTACACCTAAGCTTTGGTTCTTAATTAATAGGATTAATTATACGAAGAAACAGAAGGTAAGTATTCTGTTATTGATATATATATATATATATATTAGAAAGAAAGATATGCATCTTTCACCTCTAATATAGCAAATAGTTTTGGAAAACGTTGAGCTATGTGGACGAGTGGATATTATATTTATTCCTTATTTTGTTCTTTTTGTCAATTCTACGAGCAGTAACTTTCTTTTTAGTAAGTAATCGAGAATAGCAATATATAAGTTTTTTAAAAAGTAATTGTCGAGTTTTGGACATTTTGTGAAGTGCTGAAAAGGCTAAATGTACAACTAGAAACGCGTTTTAAATTTTTAAAAAATGGCGAGAAATTCGTTTTCTAGAAATTCAAAGAGCCACCCGAAAAATAACAATCGTTTAGCCAAAATTTGACTGAGATTTACTAAGAAATACAAAAAAATATGTGTTGCTACTCTTCCATAGTCAGGACTCTCTTCCTTTATGCATCAAACATGTTACGATTCTGTAAGCAGTGATGTCAAGTTAATCGTGAAAATCGGTAACAGAATATTCCACAGTAATATAAATTCTTTACGAACATTAATAATTAGAAGAATTCAACCTTCGAGTAGCATTGTTAAAAAAAGTAAGTTGGTATTTTGATTATGACGAAGGTTGTCGGTCTCATGACAGATGATTTGATTATTGGGAGGGGGAGAAAAAGACCGTTAAGATGAACATGTAGCCTTGCTTTTCGTTGTAAATGAAAACTAAGGTTAGCTCATCACGGCATGGCACTGGAGGTACCGAAAAGCTAGGAATGACTTCGCAAAGAGCCTTTCAGTTAAAATGGCTCGTATTCACTTTATATGCAAAAAATATTGTTAGAACTTCTTGCAGCTAATTCATTCGAATTCCAGATATTGAACAACTTTTCCACAGATTTAGATAGGTTACAAAGGAAAGTGCTATTTCCTCTCTCGAGATCTTGTCGCAGCCGAAGACAGAAAAGAGAAACTGCTTGTTTACTATTTAAAATTCTCCAAACAACAAAAGTACCCCCCCAAAAAAAAAAACACTGAAATTTGTCACTTCTTCCCTAAAAAGAAATAGCTATAGATAGAAAATTTCTAATCGGATACAGTTAAGAAAAAGATTATAAGTTTATACCTGGTATACTGACTGTATAAATGCATTTCAAGTAAATGAATTCATCCGTAAAAAATAACTTTTTTTAATTTCAAAAATATTTACATTCCTTGTACACCACATTGCATTTACATAAGGCTTACAGAGGAAAGTTAGAAAAATACAACACAGCATGAAACAAAATCAGCTTACAAATTCACACATGAAAGATATATACAGAAAGAAGAAAAATGCCATTTTATCTTGAACAAACACACGTAGAAGGAGAGAAAACTTGATGTTTAAAGAATTTAACTGGACATAAATAATAATAATAACTTAAAATTTTTGTTCATGCAAATTTCAGAGCTAATACAATATGTATTGTAGGAGGGCTAAAGTTCTGCATTTATCTCATATGTTTTGCATTTAAATGACTTTAAGTTCAATTTTTATATTTAATTACTCACGATTAAAATTCCCACGAAAGGAAATCGAAAAATAAATAATTAATCGGATCATATAATTACATTTTTTTAAATAGATACAATACATTTTTTAAATTGTAATAGATAATAATACTTCATTAAGGGCAATACATGCCAGCTATAAAATATAGTGGGCAACTTACTTCACTCTAAAGAAGCCTCGCAGTTTTGGTCAGTTGCTTCAGTTCTTGCACTCATTACGTTTTTGTGTCATTTACGCGCCGGAATCAAAACAGCAGTTTGCATTAACTCTTTGCACTCGAATTGTATTTCCCGAGCACTTGAATGTTTTAAGTAAATTACTCAAAGTTCTCGTGGGTACTCTATGGTTTGGTTAATATACTCTACTAGCTCTTACGTGTTACTTTAGAAATGCTAAAATATTTTCTAATTCATTGGGATACTTAATGTGTATTTATATTGCCTTTTCAAGGAAGCTTTACTCTATGAATCAATCACCTAAAGAAAATGTCTTTGGTGTTTAATTAAGGGAAACAAGTAGGACATGTTTAATGAATATTTTTTATTATGAGATTTATGAATATGAGCAGGATTTCATCCCAGAGAATGTTTGAAAAATGCAATAACTGGAAGAGTACACACTTAATGTATTGAAAACCATTATTGAATTTATATAAACTTTAGCGAAATAGTAAAAAAATTAAAGTAGCAAAATAATAAAAATATTTAAAATAAGTTTTATAGTTATTATATCCCATATGAAAAATTTCATGCAATGTAGATTAAAAGTCCGTCTGAATTGCTGAAGAGATTCTTATAGGAACTTTGAAAAGCGGAGCAAAAAAATCGATCGCTTCAATTATATGCCTGCATTTTCGTTTTTTACATGTATCTGCGAGTCAAATGTGAGTAGACCGAGTTGATAACATTAAAAACTTTTGCTTAGAAGATCCTTGGTTTTTTCTTCAAAATCTGTGCAGTCGCTTCCTGCACCCAGCTTTCAGCTTAAGAGTATGATCTTTCAGGCCCTCCCTGAACTAATCGTAAATGCGGGTGTTACAAGGCAAAAAATCCAGCCTCTAGGAAGATTATTTAAGAATTTTTGTTTCATTTTCTCAGCATTTCCACAGTTAACATGAGTCATATTGGATCACAAATTGCTTTTCAGCAAGATGATATCCGTGGTTAAAATTTCAGGGTGCTTATTCTTGATTATCTTGCGCAATTGTTGCGCATGACAGTCACATTAGCGATTAGCAGTGATAATCTATCCATGTTCAGAAAATTAAAAAAGTAATGGCTGCCAATAATCAGAATATAATGTCAGTAAAAACTTCAACACCGAAGATAACCGTTTAAAAATTTTTAGAAGGGAGTGCTTTTACGATTTTTACACTGTAAAGTTTTGCCATCTTCGAGCTCGTAGTAGTTTCTTACCAGTGTTTCGAGCTCAGAAATGCAGACAGCGATAAATCCAGAGAGCAAAGCAGCCAATAATTCACGCGTGCTTTAATAATAATGTATGCATCAAAAGCCATTCATATTTCTAGCCACCTGATTAATATTCAGTCACCCTTCTCCAGTTAAAACCATGCACTGTGCAATAGCTTTTGCTATTGATGGCATGATTGCCTTTTTCTGTTTCGTGCTGATTTAGAAGCATAGAGACTTTTCTTAACACCTAGGAGGTTGCGAAATTAAGAAATTCTTTCTTCCCATATGCGCGCGATATCTGTCAGTCATAAATTTGCAATGCGAGTTGTGTTCTTTTGCCTCCACTGCGGTGCATAACTGGAAATGCGAGCTGAGTTCATTGACGACCATCAAAGGTTAAAACGGCTTTTTTCAGTGCTTCATTATTTTCAATGACTTCCGATACTCACTATGCGAATATGCGGCAAAAAAGGCCGTTTTATGAAGCATCTAACAATCGTAAAATAACTAACCATACTACAGTACCCTTCCGGAAAGCGTACTTGGGAAGCGGGTCTAGATTCAAATTAATACAATTACAATTCAGATTTCACACTGGGAGTCTTCATAACCAGTGAGTCATCTGCATAGTTAAGAAATTATAATAAATATCTGCTTCTATTCATCTACAATGTAACATCATACAAACACAAGACAAGCTGAGTAGGTCAAACTAATAGGGCACGGGGTAAATCTTCCTGGCATTTATTTGACTCACGCTGCTTATGTGGCATTTAAGAATTAACCAGGAACATTGTAATTATAATCATAATCCTAAGTCTTGATAAGAATATTTTTTCACCCTCATAGCTAAAAGAAGCTGTAGCAGATGTCCATCAACCTCATTATGATGATTATTACTATCTGCGGTGGCTTAGAGGTAAGTTTCATTTGTCTTTAATTACTGAGACAGTAAACGTTTTTAGCCTGAAATTCTCGCCCTTCCCTTTATACAGTAAGGTAGATTTAATACAACTGTACTGTTTAATTTTTGTATAATTTAAAAGAAAAGTGAAAGTACTAGAAGGAAAAACTTAAGTTCAAAATGTTACACATTTTAGATTTTATGCAGCTTATCATGAGAAATATTTATTTATTTCATAGTATGAAGAAATATCTTCAAATATTTGCTTTCCAACAAAAAGTTTTAAAAAAATCGGGGAAAATGGACAGACATCCTTTTAAGACTAATTTTTTACTTCAATGTAATTTATTTTTAAAATTTTGATTTTGCCATTCAGAATTTAATAATAAGAAGAAATAATTAAAATAAGAAAGCTAGAAATGTAACCATTTTTTATTAATGTTTAGTTCTGTATCATTTTAATTAGAATTCTAGTTTTATGATGCTCTACTCTGTAAATCTGTCACTCACAGTTTACTCTATTATTTTAATTTTTGGTCTCATGATTGAATCAGGTAAAGGTTTTAGATCACAGACTTCCTTTTATTCATAACATTGACCAAACTAGAATTAAAAATAATAAGGAAAATGTTGGAGTGACACAATTAACAAAGTGTAGCAGAATATTTGAGTATACTTTCCTTAATACTTGAAAGGTTGAGAACGTGGAGATCTAGATGTACAATTTTTTTCAAAAAAGGTGGCTATAGACTTTTTAAAGGTTTTCTTAATATTGTTCCTAGATATACGCTTCCCTTTACTATATTCGTTAAAATAACACAGAGAATTTCATGAAAACATTTTCAGAACTGGAAGGAGAGCTCAGTAAAAATGAAATCTCACTTTTTATATGTAGTAGTTAAAGAATTTTCCGAACTTTTAGGTGCAAATTTCACAGAGATATTTTAAGAGCCAGCTTCAAATTTTATAACAAACAGTTTTCTCACTTGTGAAATCATTAATCGCTTAAACTTACGATCTTTACTCAATAGCCGACTTTTAAGCTAATTGTAGGTACTTACTGACTTCAGTAGGAACTTACTGATTTATATCATTTACCAGTAGGCTGCTGGTAAATGATACAAATCGATAAGTTCGTATTAGCGTATATATCTATGAAATTTATACTTAAACGTGTGGAACTTTTTATTTCTTAAACCATTAAAACAAAACGAACATTTTAAAAGTTAAAAGTTTTGCTTTACTGTAAACATTTTTGTCGTATAAATCCGCAGTGCTAAAACTTTTTTTTTTTTTTTTTTTTGTAAGTCAAAGGTCATTGAAACTGAAAATTCATCCATAGGGGTATTATTTAAGGAATTAAAGCCTATAGCCACATATTTCAAACGTCCTATACAGATACAAAAACTTTCTATACGTATCTTTATAAAGATAATTTTCAGCTGCATCATCTTTAATAAAACTGATTTTAATTAGTTTCATATCAAAGATCTGTAAACTTTCAATTTATGTGATAAACGAATTTCGTAAAACGGAATTGTAACTTTGTTTATAATTTCAGCCAGAGAATTTAATCCTGTCAAAGCTGAAGCTATGATGAGGAAAGTGAGTTGTTTTAATTTTGCTCTCAATGCATATACTTAAGGATCTGTACATGCTAATTTTACGTATAATTATGAGACGTACGTATTATTATGAGAAATGTACACTTCCTTTATGCTAATATATTTATGTGATAAAAATTATGCATACTGTAATGAATTCATAGCGTCATAATAAAGACTAATTGTTTCGTATCCACGTTCAAGCAGTGTTTAATGCACTACAAATTTAATGTAGAATATTAATTATTAACCCACTAGTGATTTTTCCCGTACATCATACAGGTAACTCTTTCCTTGCGCAGACTGATTTATCCATATGCGAAACGGTTATCTCATTCCTCAAGTTTAGTTTCTGACAATCCAGTATCATTTGTTTTAGTTTACTTTGTTTCTAGATGGCGTTACCTGACCGTAAGAACAAGATTGTAGTGTGCCCCCCCCCCAATATAATTCGCAGTGAAATAAGCACTTTCGCACATATACCATTGTGTAATATTTTCTAAATGTTTCTCTTATCAAAGTTTTATTTCAAATTTAAAACTTTTATAATCTTATTACTAAAAGCATATAAAATAGCTTTTAAGTTATATTACTGTAATTTGCATGTTTTGTTTTTTGTTTTAAACTATACCAAAAAAAATTCTCTTTCTTGGCCGATCTTGTTTTAAAATCAAGGATTATAGGGAGAGGAAATATTAAGTTTTAGCTAAAATTTCCAGATGAGTCATAAATACGAAATGTAAAGCTATGTAAAATGTTTATTACTACCTGCATATGTTAAAAAAGCGAACAATACAGGAGTATTTAATGCAAAATAAACTTACGACTGATACTTACGAATGTACAAAAAACCAACATTACAGGGCTAATTGCAATTTTTATGTCGTTCGAGAAAGTTCAGCTTTATAACGTTTCAAAATAATGAGGCAGATTTTGAATATAAAGAATATTTTCAAAAATAATGAGACAAGTTTTGAATATATATTTTCAAAAGGTTGTATAAACTTTTGAAATAAATTAATGGATATGTGATTAACATGATTACATATAAATATGAATAAATACATCTTATATCTACTATTTTGTGTTTAAAAATGTTAAGTCCCAAGAAAATATAAATTTGTAACAGCACGGGTAGGTCGCCTGTCTCCCACATCACATCGATATAATATTGTCCCTCATTGTTTCGAGATTCACCGCAGAGGGGGAGCTCACACGGCAGCATAAGGCAACGCCAACCGCCTTGTTCTGTAATATCATTCGCAGTTTCGAAATTTAAATAATCTTTCTCGAATCTACATGTGCTATTCAAAAGTACAGTATACAGTGATCCATAATATAAATAATGCCTACAGTCTATACAGACAAATTACGTATTTAATTGATTATTTGAGATCGGAGTAAATGCATCAAATTAGTTTATTTTTCATGTTAAAAGATAACGAATTAAAGCGTTGATTCGAATTATGTTTTGCATATTTATACATTAATCCTTTTCTACCAAAATACATCAAATTACTGCCTTTTAAAATTATATTATCATAATTATAAGTTACGTTTTGCCGCAGTTTTTGTAGTATTTTGTTTTTTTATCATCAACTTCTTTTACCCACCTCAAGTTACTGTAGAGAATATTTTTTTTTTCGGAAAAACTGTTTCATTAGGGGCAATTCTTTCTATGTTGAAAGCTAATAGGTTTTCTTGTTTGCATAGTTCTATGTGATTATCAACCTATGTTCATAAATCACTAAAATTAGTTACTAAAATTAGTTTAAAAATTTCCAACTCAATGGCAGTAAGCAGTTGTTCTTCGGAAAGTTCGTTCTTATGCTTGAAACGAATTAAAACGTTCTCAAGCTTGAAAAAATTAATTTCGGATATACTTACGCTCAAGTATGTCCGAAAGCAGACTGAACTATCTAGCACTTTTATCAATTAAATTTGACAGTGCTAATTCGATTTCATTTGAAAATGCGATTAAAATTTTCGTTGAGAATAAATTCAGACGAAAAGTGTAATGCGAGCGAAAGAAAAGGTGTTTTTTATTTAGTTGAATATATATGATATGTAAATATGTTACAATATATGAGCTTTTATATTCTCTTGGAAGGATTTTTTTTGTTGCATTTTATGTGATTCTAATGAAAGCTCTCATAACTTCCATATTCCTTATTTTATTACATATTTTTATTTTTGTAAGATATATAACATAGGCGGCGATTTAGTTCAGCCTGTAGGCTGCACATCTATTAATATGCCTTTGTATATATAGGGTGCGGCAGCGTTCATAGTCAGATATTAAAAGCACACCATAAGGCAGTAACTGTAATTTATTTGTTACCTCTTATGTCAATTAATAATTAAAGGTATGCCATTTAATAATGTGTAAATCATTGTCCATTGCGTGGATTACGTTTTGAGCATGATGCCCCCCTATTCACAACACATTCATCTAGGCGACATTGGAAGCTTGCCATAACTCGGCGTAACGTATTCTCTGGGACATTGCCGACGGCAGTTCAACATTGCCGACGATCCTTCAACTCAGGAATGGTGGCACAACGTGTTCGGAAAACTTCTTGCTTCAGGTGCCCCCAAAGTCGGCACATGAAAGACCAAGTGAGCGAGGTGGCTAGGAAATGTCACCAAAACGGGAAATTACTCTACCTGGAAATGTCTGTCGCAATGGTCCATTCACCTGGAACTTTCCCATAACGTCCCAAGTTGAAATGTTGCCGAAATAGACGCTGAGTAGCAATAACAGAGTAGTTATTTTTTAAATAACTTTCAACAGCAAAGGAACGATGCTGTGTACTCCAACGATCCATATCACTGTCACATTCAAAATGGCAACTCATTAGTACACGAATGCGGCACGAGCTGGCACGCATTCATGCAGTACGTCATTGTGCTACGCAAATGAAATTACGCTATGAACGCTGCCGCACCCTATACTTTGTATTGTTAACTATAATGAAGGAACTTTTTTATATTAAGAGCTTAAGTATCAGTACAAGTCCTTTTACATTTAAAAAGAATTTCATCAAAAGCATTAAGGAATTGAACATTACAGGTTCGAAACTTTCTTATCTAATCTATTTCTTATCTAAAACTTCTAATCGAAGCTTTCTTATGTGGAAATTGCACAATTTTTACTTTAGGTGACAACTGAGTCTAATAAAAAATTACGTACTTGTTCCTAGGGTAGCATTCTGCCCGAGATGTACTGCACATAATTTAATCGCTATATGCAAACTCAGTGTTGCCTCTCTTCACAAGAACTAATTTTCTTTAATAATAAATAAGATGCTTTTAGGTTTAGCTTCCTTGAAACGGTACTAGATGCTACAATAATGCAGTATAAAAGGCACATTTTCTAAATTAAGTTTTGCTAGGAAGTTACTGATTTTTTTTCCTGTTATATTGTTTCCATTTTTCTATTTATTTTACTCATCAAGTTGTAAGCATTATAACTTATATTTTTCATGTTATTATAAGTACAAGTACATGGCATTATAAGTAAATATAAAAAGAAGCAGCTTTTATCTCACAGCAAATTCAAGTCTTAGCCAGGGAACACTTAACACCTCATATATACATACAAAGATAGTGTAAGTAAAGAGACTTAAGGAATCTGGCTCTCTAAGCACTGCCAGATTTTACCTTTAAACTTATCTTCAGATTAATATTGAATAATTTATATATATTCATAAAATGCAATGCCATGAAGGAGTTTTCCGACTGGGAAAAAATTGTGCCACGTATCATAAATGAAAATACAAATAAAAGATATAAGTATCGAACCAATTTAACAACATTGCTCATACAAAATATGTATTTCAAGAAGCCTTTATGAGAGGCAATAAGAGCTTCTTTTTTATCATGGTAAATCAAAAATGCTCTGTGTCCCTGTAGTACTAATTGCCAGGCTACTTCGATCCAAATCCAGAGTTCATTGAAATTATCTACCGGAGAAAAACAATGGATCAGAAGCCGAGAGATCATATCCCATACATGTCGATGCCAGTCGATGACATTTTTGCGAATGAGTAGTTATGGGAAGAAGCGGTGGGAATACGACAGGAATTTCGGGTGGAAAATGATCAGATGTCAGTTTTTAGAATATCCTCAACAGGAACGGTATGACTAACGGAAGGGTATGATTTCAATTTCTACCCTAGAAATGTTTATGCGAAGCTCTCTGAGCACCAGATGCCATCGAAATCCTAGAAGCAAACAGGATTTACCTTTAGAATATACACAAGTATACAAGTCCTTTAGAACTGCTCAAGTACTACGTTTAAGAAGAAAGCTGCACGCCCGATACCGCAATTCGAGTGATATGTCTATCATCTCATGGTGTTACCAGATTTCGTATTTCATTGTTGGAATTTAAACGTATACGGTTTCTCTTCAATCCGCTGTTTTTTCATATTCGTATTACTATCACATTTCTTACATTCACAATTATTTTCACATTTATAGGGAATACGACACCTGTCTCTCGTCACCTGTCTCTCGTCAGTGCCTGTCTCTCGTCAGTGCCTGTCTCTCGTCAATTTCGTCACTTGTCTCTCGTCAGTGCGACGAGAGACAGGTGCCGTACGAAAATCTTCTTTATGCAGATAGATAATTCATTCCCATTCCAACAGTGTAATTTGCTTATATGGTGCCCTTTGACTTCGAAGATATGTAATTACTTCTACGGGATAGTTTTGAATTGTCAATTATACACTATTTTTGTTTTGTACTGTTCCACATAACGTTTACTTTTATACGCCCCACACGACTGTTCATGGGACGCTGCTAAGCCCAAGTAAGCGCATTCGCTCTGCATTTCTAATCATTTGCATATCAAACCTATTTTATATTTCCCGTTCATTCACTAGGCTGACTCTTTCACGACGTTGCAGTTTTCATAAACACGACTGTGTAATTATTGTTAATAATTCATTATTAATTATAAATTATTCAGTATTATTTTACCCTAAATATGATATT